CTCTCCACTTTGAGATCATTCCACAGCTGGGCTATCACTACGAGGCGCTCTTAGCATCAGTTTAATCCCGGGGATTGCCTCTAAACTACCTCCGTGAAGAGCTGTCACAAATGGCTGCGACCCGAGCAGAAGTCTATTCCGGGTTTCCTACTATATCCCTCCTTGGTGACTTTATTTAATGCCCTTATGAAGGGAGTTCCGGAAAATCTGGAGAAGAACTCGTGTCTTTTCCGAGTTTCTCGTCAAAGTGTTGCTTATCGGAAGCTGTTTAGGGAGCGTTTAGATCCAAATTGCTTGCGGGAAAAGCCGAGCGCTTGAAATTAGATTTTAGAAATGGCCCCGAGTGAAAAACAGCGGTCATATGTCAAAGCCAATCTGAAATGCCTCGACAATAAGACTAGGGACGAGAAGAAAAGAAATAAAGCTCACCAAAAGTGCTGGGACCGTCGCTCCCGTCAGAGTTATCGCACGAGATTTCGGATGTTGCTGAAAGGTGGACTAATTAGAGAAGGAAGGGCCCATATTTCTTAAGTTCTCAGGGATGCCAAAAGGGAAAAGCGACAGGCTTACCTCGGCCCCGTCGGCCACTCGAGGTCCCTGACACATTGTACTCAGACGATTTTCCAGAAGCGTAAGGAAACCTGAAACTATCAGAAGATCAATGGAGGCTAGGAATCTGCCTAGGAGGAATTCCGGATAATTTCCTCCTTTGTGAAGAAAAAATTGTAATACTCGATTTACAAAGCCCCAGCTTCAAATTTCTTGGCCTACTTCATAGCAGGGTCCACCCAAGGTAGAACTTGAGATCAGACGACATCGTCCCCCTTGGTGAGTTCTCCTCTCCAACGATCATTGGCAGCGATTGTGTCCTTAAAACTGTTACCATTTGACACACTCCAACTCCGCCCCCCAAAAATTGTGCGACGAAATAGGGAGGGGTTGACACTGTACATACCTTTCCGAGGAGAAGTTCACTTCACCGCATACCTCTCCGATAGTTCAGAGGACACTTCTCGTTAGGTTTGGTTTTGAATCTGTGCCAGCTCCGACAAAATCAATTATCTTTCTGATTAATATTGTCCGAACTGCACGAACACAGAGCAAAGATCAAAGTATGGTGAGCAAACTCTCAAAACTCTCCCATTACTTGACTCCTTCCGTTCTCCTGGGTAGGGAATTAAACCCGTCCGACAATAAAAGCAAAAGTGTCAGCCGCAGAAGTCTTATGCCACTTCCGACAAGAAGCATTATAAGATCGCATCTTTTACCGAGATCTCTTATCGAGGGGCGTGGCCAAAATTTATTTCAATGAGAGCGGGTTTGACCAAATTGACCCATCCCAGTGATGCTTCTTTTTGGCACGAGATTGCTCCCGATTGGAGCATATCTGCTCCAATACAATTCCTTCGTACCCTCAGGTAAGCTATTACGAACACCCTCAGAATACTTTCATTCTCATAGCCCTAGTTGGGTGGTATTGCAACTTTTTGCTATTTTTTCAATTTTGTGGAGCATGGATGAAATCCCATTGACCGTTGGGGGCTTCAAGGGGAAGGGAGGAAGGAGAGGGATGGAGTGTTGACATCCCATTCCGGAACATTTCGGGAAATTACTGAAAGGAAGGGTTTTATGGCCAAAACTGGTGGGTTCAACCAACCTAACTGAGTAGCCTAGCCGGTAAGAAAATCAAGCTGAGTAAATATCTGAAGAGCTGTCGGTAATTTTCTGTTTAGAGCGCCTTAGTAGGGACAATTCGTAAAGAGCTCTCGAGCCTTCAACTGAGCACAGAAACCGACTACCAAGCGCCTTTTTGAAGGCCAAATTCTTGGCTGATTTCCAATTGGAAACAAAGATTACAGAATAAATTGTAGTGATAAAAACTTCACCGGCAATTGGAAAGAAAGTGGAAAAAAGATGTAACACATTCTAAATCGGCCAAACGCGCTGATTATGGCGCGTGGTTTGCCTCTCGCCTACAGCCTATTGGTTGTTTCCATTTTGACACTGCACTCTGCTGTATTCTACCGTATCAAATATTTATCTTGCTAGCCAATGAGATTCCGCAAGAACACACTCATGCGCAGTAACCTACACTTATTCGATATCCAGATGTGCCTTCAAGTCACATCACTCACCGATAGTGGCCTTCTCCACGCTCTGATAAGTGGAACTGTTGACGACTTTCATCAGTGGCATTCCAAAGAAGAACAGAATCGTAATGATAGGGTCGAACTGGAATCACTTCATATGTCCAAATGTAAAAGGCAAACATCAAAATCTGCGAAAAATCACCGTCACGTGGAAGGCATCAATCTCCGAGACAATCGTTGAGCAGAGTCATGAACGAAAAATAGAAGGAATAGAAATAGTCGATACCAACTGAACTCGGTGTGCCAGAAAGTCTGTCATAGGCAAAAATGAATGTGGTCGTGCCCATCAGGTAGACTGAAAATAGAGGATTCACAGTGAAAAGTCCCAGTCTGATCAAAATTGAAGAGTCAGACCAAATTTGAATCGATCCGAGGTAATCGGTCACGACGGCGGGGGAGTGTGTGCGGATTTGTATGAACGTCACCTGACTCAATTTGGTGGACCGAAACCCTTCAACGTGCCAGGGGATGTGGTTTGGATGGCCTATTAAGCCGCTCCACAAATAGTATTCAAAATCGGATCGCCCTCGGTACATCGTGATCGCTGCCTTTAAATCCTGGCGTGCCATAGGAGTCACGTAAAGCTTCGGGGAAAAACCTTTCAATTTCCACTATGGCTGCGCCCCAGTGGTATGACCCACAACCCTGGACGGCGCGAGCAGTGCATCTGCTCCACAATGCATCTTTTCTTTTCCCACATTGGTATCTTGTAATATAGGTTCAATCTCATCTATTAAATACTATCTTTGGAGGAAGAGATAATACGTAGAGGATTTGTGGGCCAAACAGACTTCAGGTAGGTCCCACCTTCAGTGGGGAAAAATGAAAAATTACCCAAAAAATGGAAAACATGGAAAGAAGGTACTCACGAAGCATGAAGAGCATGCATAAAATAACTGGCAAAGTGAAGACCTCGCCGTCCTCGACGTCCTTTCGGGATCGAAATTTCCTGGAAGATTTTCGTATTTTGACAAAATTAAAGGATTCCCCCAATTAGTCTTCTAACTAGGCTCACACGATGTTTTATAGAACCTCTAAGAGATCCAGGGACAGTCGTACATTTGAACTATTCAAAGGGAGCAGGGGGGTCGTATTTAGTGTTAGGGTTTAAAAAAGGTTAATCTTCTCTTGGAAGAGAGCGAGCGGAGCAGCGAGGAGGGGGGTGTCGTCTGGTCTCAGAATGACATACTACTATAGAAAGATGGTGAAGGTGGTGCCCGTGGAGGGGTATGAGAGATCCCACTGATGGTTATGGTGGTGGTAGTGATGTCGTATCAAGAACCTTAGGAGGAAGTCGCAAAATTCCTTGTGATGCGAATGCAACGGGCGACCTCGTGGTAAGTACAGGACTACCAACGTGTTCTTCCAGTACAACAAGAAGTGGGAGACGTTCCACATATGCAGTGGGAGGACGCGTTAAGGCTGGGGATGACGTTCATAGATCCGTGGAAAGATTGGTAGTGAAAGCTAACGTAACTGTTGATTTGGAAATCAAGATTCTTCCAAGAGGCAGATTATTACCCAGGTGGGAGTTATGGAGTATAGTGAGCCGGGAGCGGAGAACAGATTACCCACTGAGTAACCCACCAGGTAGGTGCTTTACTCATCCACGCAGTTCACAAGATTGAATGGAGCACTCACCTCCATCGGATTGACGAATTCGCGTAGAGGTTGCGTCGCAGTGACCGAGAGCTGATTGCAAGATGCATGATTGACGACTAAGGTGTAGAGAGGGACAAGAGGAACCGTTAAGCATGATCACGCACGCCTTTCCCAACGTCGACGACGGGGCTATGGAACCTGAATGCGGGATTTAGGGATTCTAGGGCTGATTATTCAATGATCCAACGTAAAATCGTATTAGGGCTTGACGAAATTGTGTTCACGTGAATAATGGAACAATTAAATTTTCTTATTAGGGAAAAGGAGTGGCTTTTTTGGCTATGTGGGGGGGAACCCCAAAAAAAAAAGGCGGGGTAAGGGTGAGGGCTAAGCGACCTTCTCGCTAGAAATGAGGGACAGGAGACCTGAACACGCCCGTATTCCTCGTGATAAAGCAGCGCCTTTCTGAACTACCGTAACCAGGTGTTGGTTATCAAATTCATCGAAAAGAAGCAAGCTATGCCCAATGGTCGCTTGTGCCGGTGCGTCCTGTCTATCGCGCCTTAGAAAGGTGCTGCCGTCGTTTTGATGCACTGCTTCAGAAGTGTTATGTAGGCGCGTAACGTGTCATATTAGGGCAATGAAATTTGTCCGAGGGGGTGTTTATCGAAGGGGTGAATGGGTATTACGAGCCATACCTGTAGGTATGCAATCATGAATTCCTCGTCAACGGTTCGCCGAGGATCGTTGATTGTCTGAGTCATCTCTTTTGCAATCGCCTCTATTGTTCCATCCAACGCAGCTTTATGCTCAGCAACCGTCTGAATCAGTGCCAGGCGAAGGTGACGGGTCAAATCGAAGGTTTAGAAGCGCTATATTGGAGAAGTGCGGGGGTCAATTGGATTTCAAGTCATGTTTCTAGAGAATGATTGATGATACAAAGAGGCCACGGACAATCCATGAGGACACAAAAGCAAGTTCCTCTGAAAGAGTTACCCAGTTCAAATTCTCAGTTTGAAGAGGTTAGTTGACCCTGCAAAAGTAGACACAAAACAGATTGCCGCTCGACACTGCAGTGTTCAGACATGCGCTCCGACGAGCTGTTGCGATGCGAGCTTTCGCGATCATGGAGGTATGAACAAAATAAATCGCATGCACCCAACAAGACTGCGCCAAAGTTTACCACAGAGGCTGTTGAAGTTAAGTGCGTGGGTACAGTTCATGGGGGTTCATTGGGCGTTTTATCTGAGGGCGAGCTGAGCCAGTGTCAGGTTGCAAGTACAACAGAAGCAATTCTTCTCGCCGTCAATGCAACTATCTAACCTCAGTCGCGACATGCTTGACATTACCAACCCGTCCAAAGTGCCGCATTTTGTAGTCGCGCGCGGTGCGCGATGTGTACTCTTGACATACTCTTGCAGGCCACGTAATTGTAACACTGATGCTGTTCCACCCCTTTTCTCCCTGAAACCATCTCGTTTCTAGAATCTACAAGTTCTACGATAATTTGAGTTCTGAGAAGTCTTTGAACAATCCACGCATGGGAGTTAGAAACGCAACGCGAACGCGCGCGGCTGCGACTGTGACACTCTTTCAGAGAAACAGAGCCGGCTGTAAGCCGTCCCTATTCTTTTGTTTTTTGTTAATTTTTGTGAGATTTTCTTATCTTACCTTATGTTCATAATTGGATTCGATCATGTAGAATATAGCTGCGCCAATTAACGTGTATGACAGAACGAGCAGCAGCAGACAGATATTTTTGAAACCATATTTCCGTGGGTTCCTCACAATAGGGTAAATTTTCTGACGTAGCTCTGAAAAAGAATATTTTTGACAGAACAAAGTGATCGCATTTCGATATCTAAAGGTTCGGTTATCCGAGAAAATGGGGCCCATGGGACAAGGGTAGCACTGAAACGGTCTGGATACATATCGATTGCTCCCCAGTAGCATTTTATAATAAATACTCGGAGTATGGCGACCCCGCGCGCATACCTTTTGGCACAAGTGTTTTTGTGACATTACGTTGAAGGTATTTCAAAGAGGTTTCCGCGCTAGGCCCCGTACGGTTCTCACTTACCCTACGTTTCCACCTGTTTCGCGAAGAGAGCGCGCCACAGCCCAACCGGTCGCCCACCACCATGTTTTCTTCCGAGGCAACCCCCCTGATCTGCTAAATCCACGTCTGAGCCGACGAGGCTTTTCTTCACTTAAAATACCCTGTCCAGGATTGGCTGATAAAGTATCAGAGGTATTCTTTGGCCTTGTGCCAGCTATTTGAGATGGTAGCCGAAATCCCGTCCCTAACCTACCCAAGCTCACCCCTACGGATGGGCGCGGATGTGTTGTAAAAGCTCTGTTTTTGTTGAGCCAGGGATTAGGTATGTGGTAAAAAGCTTCGGTTTTCGGGCCGTGTATACCTAGCCCTCGTCACAAGGAAATATTCCCATAATAACGTCGACCCTCTCACGCCTGTAAGAACGGCGGGTATGGAGGGGAGAGCTCTGGATACGCACACCTCTACAGATACGCACGATCTCTATAGACTTCGCCTCCGCGTCCTATCGAGAGGAAAATTCTGCTCGCCTAAAAGCCGGACCTAATGACGCCGCGCATAACCCGTATGTAGCACCAGTTGTTCAACTAGCACCGTATCAACGCTTACTGTCGCTCGATTCAAGTATAACCCATCAAATTAGTGAGAACGAACACAACACTCGGCAATACTAAGCTACTAACTATGACAGTATCGCACTTACGCTTCAAGATTCGTCCACTTCCGGTTCTCTTCGAATTTTCACGAATGATTTCATGATTGGCCTGCCGGATTCGATCCTCACCTAAAAATCAATTTTCAGTCATCCTGGCGTTTTCACTGAGACATCTATGCAGGGCAAAACGTTCGTTCGGATAACCTGAACGGAAATCGTTTTGGGAATTTCAGGGAAGATCGTGGGTGTTTGTACAATGAGAGGGCCATTCTCGTGGGATTGAGAGAGAATGTTTGCATTTCATGGAAATGCATGGGATGGGCATGAAATTATGGGTACCTGACAGGAGGCCCGTCGCAGAGCAACGGACGAGTCGCAGCGCGTGATGTGCGATGTAGGACGTACAATGGTACATTCTATTTAACTTGACGCGAAATCCCTACAGTACGCGCTGCGACTCGTCCGCTGACTCTGCCTTCTTGCCGCGCGACGGGCCTCCTGTCGGGTACCCGAAATTATGTAGAATTTGCTGATTCCAGTTGAAGCTGTAATTACACCTGAAGGTCTCCCAACACCCTCCTTACCCTCCCCTCTCCTCTCTCAGTCAGTTCGATGCAATTTCGGAGAGGAGACTTGGGGGGGGGTTCAGTGTGTCATCTGATGCGAGAATGGAATGCTTATGCATATTCGGTGAGGGGAGGGGGTATTTCTTCATTCAATGAACGGTGTTTCTTGTGGCTTTTTTGCCACAATGAAAACATGTTTTCAACCACTATCGAAAAACGAAGCGCAGCGGATTTTTCTGGAATGCGCCATGCATCGCTTCACATACTTAAAGTCTTGTGTCGTGCTAT